AACATCACTCACCTTTCTTATCTTTGTCACTACACGCGCCTCCAGCACAGATGAGAAGATCAGCCAAGTCCGAGCGGCCCACATCAGCGCAGTGCATCAAGGCTGTCCAACCTCGACTGTCATCAGCATGCTCCAACTGACCATAGCATAGCAGCCATCAATGGGCCAGGACTGCCCTTACTGGGTCGACGTCGTCCACTCGAGAAGCCTCCGTTAAAGTCTTGAGGAAGGCCCGCAGGTTAGCCGCCGTCACTCCTTGGCCCCGTATGAGTAGCATCAGTGCAGAGCGACCCTCTTTGTCAGTCGCCATCAGCCTAACAGAGCTCCTCCTCATCATCCAAGCGACGAGTGATAGGAGAGGACACACGCCGCATTCCTTTCCTCCTCTACTGTGTGTTGATAGATCGCTAATGCCGTCCCTGAGAACCCCCTGGCGCATGCTACAAGGATCTGTCGAGATGAATGACAAATAATAAATACCGGGATGGAGTACAGCGTTCATCCCTCGACTATCGACAATATGAATCGGATGATGACCTTTTACACCCGCCGCGAACACCTTCCTGTTGAGGATCGCCAAACACGATTGAGTCGCTCCACTGAGGGGAAGACTGGAAGGCGAACCTTTGCTGTTGGCGAGACTCACCAGTCAGCTGCATAAAGGAGGGCCGTCTGCCCCTTCGAGGGATCGACATGAGCCGTGATGAGGGAACCCTCGTTGGAGGCTTCCAATGTGTCGATGGCCACCTCTACTGTCGATCGGACATTAGATTTTATGGCGAGTGACAGAAGCGTGTCACCTGTCACCATCCATTAGGACTGGTCAGATAACCTCCTCTGTGGGCCTACCCGTGTAGGATTCCTGATCGACCACCCCTCCGGCCCTGATGAGCATAGCGCAGATTTCGGAGTGCCCCGAAGCTGCTGCAAAATGCAGCGGCGTCCAACCTCTCAGCCGCTGTCGAACATGCACGTCTAAAATGAGTTGTTGAACGATTTGGTTGATCCGATCCTTGGCAAGTCCCACCGGCCCCGGCCTCTAATAATATACCAGCAAGTATAGTGAGGCCCTTGAGGGAGGCCCACATTAACGCCGACATCTTCCCCCTCTCGAGATCATCGTCTAATGTGTCAGGGCAGACACCAGCCTCCAAGCAATCTCGGATCTGCCAAGCCTCCTTCCTCCTCCTTAACCTGCCGCGGCGACTCACCAGTCCAACTTGTCCCTTTTGCTCATCCGCTGGTACCCCGCATGTCTTCACGATGTATAATAGTCTATTACGACGACCACTACGACGAGGCAGCCGTCATCACCGTCCCACCTCTTCGTGGCCTCGACTAGGTTGAGCAGTTCCGTACGGATCTTCAGTAGTGCCTCCTTCTTGGCCGTCAGCTCCTCCTCCTCCTCTGACTGCTGCTGCTGCTCATCATCCAAATAGAGCAGATCCACGGCGAGTCGAGGATCAGCGCCTGTGGAGACCTCAGATGGAGACCTCCTGCTGATATATTTCACATCACCTCTCGCAAGAAGTAACTTCACGGCATCCATTGATCCATCCAAGGTCGACTTCAATAGTCTCATCCAATGTGTGAGGTTGTCGGCACCATATTCAATAGCATCAGCGTCGAGTCTATCTACCATAACAGCCCTGATAGGAGCAGACCAACGATGACTTACTCGGCTCTTGAGTGATGGAATCCCGACCTTCGTCATCATCAACAACACCAGCTGCAATCAGCTGCCTCATACCAACTATGTCGCTCTTCTTGGCCAGCCTAAGGAGGAACCTCCAAGACTACAGCCCAACTCGAGTGTACCTCCAAAGCTGACGATCAACGCAAGAGGCTGCGTGTAGCCACTCAATGGCCTTCAACTGACGCTCGACTACAGCAGACGAGTCGAGGCAATCGCTACGACCACGACTCACCAGCTTCTACCGGCGTCTGACCCCAATGGTCTCTCATGTCAAGACGGCATCCAAACTCCCGGACCAGTATCATCACCTAGAAGATCTCCGAAGCACAGATGGTAGTAGTATCGCTCACCGTGCTCAGCTTGCCTTGTCGAGCCGCCCAGTGCAAGGCGGTCTGACCCTCCACATCCTGGGTGTCGACTCCTCCATCATGGTCATCACCTTCCAGTCCTCCAATGGTAACCTTATCTCTGAACATAAGGCTGCCAACACTAACGTTTACAGACCCTACGAGTGGCTTATAGTGGCAGCCAGGAGCCTCACACAGTCGTCATGTCCATGGACGGCGGCCCAGTGCAACGGAGTCCATCCTCGACAGTCGGGGTGCTGAAAAGGGAGGACCATCCAAACGTTGGAGGGGGAAAGCTGTTCTTACTCCGACATCGGCTTTGGCTTCAACCAGTAATTTGGCCATACTTGTATCTCCTCGTCGACTGGCGACCTGATAGCGAGTGGAAACAAAACGCAGCCCTTCAAAGAGGCTCCTACTGAGAGAGCGGTCATTTGCTCTTCATTCGATGGAGCATCTATGAGCAGGTGAGGACCTACAAATGCTCTTACTATGGATTGAACCTGGGACCTATCGATACCCTCAGCAGCTTCAGACCGACGCAAACTGTCGTGTCGTGCGAGGATCCTCAACAAGCTCTCGTTGTCCTCTCCTTGACGATGGGCCGCGATCATCGCCAATGACCAGCCGAACTCATCACGGCACCTGTAAGGGCATCACTTCACGACTGCCATCCGTAGAGGCAACCCCAGCGGGTCTCAGGACCACTCACTCCGCGATCTTCTCTCGATCGACGTCCTGCAGGAGAATATCAAATGCTATTGAGTCTCCCTTGCGGCACGCGACAATAACGGCTTCCTCGTCTAGCAGTTTGTTGTAGCTACAAGAATATTCCAACTTGACAGACGCCACGTGAAACTACGCGGGGGGTGGGCCCGAATCCCGATTGAGTTGAGGTTTATCTATTATCCTCGAGGCCCTCCCACTCGGCACTCTCGACTCCCTTCTACTCTTCGCAACAACTGATCGTCTGCTTGGCCGACGCCCTATCGGGCTGAGTAGCAGATGAGTATTGACATGCTACAGACGGCGCGGATTATTCGATTACTTTTGGGTGCCGCTTCGACGCTTTATACCAAAGCCTTCGGTATGACTAAAACTCACCTTCGTCGACATTGCCGGAGAAACAGAGTTCCATCGATTGAAGTCTGTTGATTGACTAACACAGCGAATGCATAATACGGAAACGTGTAGTAACGTGTCACCAATAGAGATGCATTCGGCCTCCTTCTATCACTGGCTTTACAGGCACGACTTCGTTAACGTCGGCCATACGCCATACCCGCCCATCAGCTACGATCGGTACAAAGTTGTCTTCAGATGGATTAGCAGAATCAGGCTCATACCTAGCGAGGGGCTGAATAAAGGGAGGGAGGCTGAGCGCCATACACCATGCCGGCCTCCATGATGACCATATGTTCTGCTACAGGGCCAACCTCACTCGCTGATGGGTCGGGATCAGTTCGACTGCCGAATAACTGAGGAATCGGGTCTCAGGACCCATCCTGAAGAGACCTGCCTCACCGCTTCCCCGTGACGGTCTTCGACCCAATAGGACTCTCTTACACTAACCGCAACGTGCATCCTGGCGACCAAACCTAGGCAGTCTATGGTCTAAAGTAATTGTCAACGCCTGACTCTCACCGGCCTCCCTGGCGAGTTGAATAGCGTCTCGGAAGGTGTGCCGCTGCTCCGTGCAGTAGCGATTTCCATAAAGCCGAAATAAGTCCATCTGTGGATCTGACGGATACACACTGTCCCAATGGCTCAAGTTCGAGACGTGCCTCGGATAGTCGATTTGGGAGTAGAAAATTCCGACACGGAGGGATATGACGCGACGCGATGAGAGCCCTCACGCCAAGACGAGGAGCAAGGTGAAGTCTCACTCGTTTCCTTAGTCCCGGCTATCCAAAACTGCTTGTCTACGCGTGATCCCACGAACTTGTGGATCTTGAAACTGTGGCAAATATCGCCTGAGAGAATATACAAATGCCCGAAAGCACCAATAGGAAACATGTGCAAATTCAACTACAAATTCATCGAATGCTTTCAAGTATCGAAGTGCAGAAGAACAACATAAATTCACGGCTCCGCTAGCTCAGTAGGCAGAGCGTGTGGCTGTTAACCACAAGGTCGGTGGTTCGAACCCATCGTGGAGCGCTTTTCAAATAGGGCTCGGTATTTATATCGTCATGATAAGAACTGATGCAAGTTGAGACGAGAGCTCTCATATCCTTATCACGTGCCAAGGATGAGCTACTCCGCGTCATAGCAATAAAAGAAAGCGTCGACGCGAGAAAGTGTACTCGCATTCCCTCCAGGAGTTGAGTCCACACCGCTACCCTACCCCGCCTTGCCTCCGAGAGTACTCCTTGTATGTACTCCTCCATAGCGGGTGTAAAGCAGCCGAAATCACCTTTATCAATATCCCCAGAGCCTGGTCAGAACTGATCAAGTCAATGGTGAATTAGGAAGCTCACTTGCGAGGTCTGACAGCCTTTCGAGACAATGGTGTGCATCTTGTATGATTCCCTGAGGAGAGTTGAGGTGGCCACTACATTACGTGATTCACCCCCACAGAACTCCACAAGAGTTCCCATTCGAAGGAATAGGAAGAAGCAGCATTTGGCCATACACATGACATACCTTCTGCCAGCCCGTGTGGAACCATTTAGAAAAGCGCGTCTTCATGAACAAGCTCGGAGCAATCTCATGGAGCTCCGACACAACACTGCACGATGCATTGGCAGAGAGCTTATTGAGGAAGTGCATCCATGGGATGAACTCTGCCAGAGAAGTCGGCCCAATAGGAGCGACATCTGGTTCAATTAAAACTGCAATCAGTACATCCCTACTGGGAATGAACTACGAATGATGACTCGTCCAACGAACTCAACATATGTCAAGTAGCACAAGGGAGTTGCATAAGGAACTCTGTCGACCACACAGCGAGCTGATGTAAAACAACCTTTAAAATTTCACGCTATCGCCACCACTATGAATGAACTCCCCCAGTGCTGACGACTACATTAGCGTCGGATGCGTTCCAATGATTCGCCTCAGTAGACGATGGTTTCGTTCGGGTACGCCAAAAGGTATGACGTCATAACTTGATGACGTCATCGGATATTCCCTGAGTGCCCCTCCCCTTCCATGACTACTCGAATGTACCCTCGAGGACGGGGGAGTTCGACCCTCGGCCCTCACCCGGCATCCGCCGTATGCTGCAACGACGAGAATCAGCTCATGCTCACTTTCTCGTCATTCCCATCGGCCGTCTTGAAGTACAGACCTTTGCTCCGGGGTGGATGTTACGGATTGAAGATCGTTCGACACCATAACATGAATACGCGATATCAGACTTACAACTATCTCCATCGTGACCGTCCACCAACACTCCTTCTTCACTGAATCTTAGTAGTAATTCCGCTTTCCCGATAAGTACATATTCATCCGGACGTGTGCAGAACTCTCACTCAGATAGGGTGTTCTTATCTCCGACGCGATATAACCACCAAGTTGCATATCCCTTCATTGCTGATGAGAACGAACTCACGAAAAGGTAAAAACCCCATTCCCACCCTTCCTGTGGAATGCACAGCTTTAAACCGGGCCCGCAATACTTGTTTTTAATGGCAACTATATTTCGGAATTCATATCCGATTGACTGCGGTACATCAATGGTGATATGGGCTCGTATAAAAATATTCCTATTCGTTTTATCCCTTTACTACCCAATAGGACTAAAGCCCGGCCGCAACTTTTCATTATAATCGAACGTTTCCAGAAGGATTCGTGGAGATTATTGTCGAATCGTACAAGGCAAGCCGAGGTTTTCGATAAGTGGGGTGCGAACATCAATTATATCTTCTATGCCGAACGAGACGTAAGTTGCGCCTGCCTGCTGATGGAAGAATTTCCATTTTCATCGCGCCACAAATACACTGCGCATGATGCAATCGTGACAGGACTATAATTCTTGAACATGTATGAGCGCAAGCCGTTAGACTGTTAGGGTGTGACGATGGAGGTATGAGGTTCGATTCCTCGTATCTACATTTACACGAGTCATATGTCATGAGCAACCTTGAAGTTTGGAGTCGGTCGCTATCTGGGTCAGTTTGTCCGAAGAAGCGGCCGTGGAACACATTTTCTCTCCATCAATGATCATAAGAAGGGGTTCTCGACCTCCCTGATCAATGTGAGATGAGTTTCCATCGCCGTTTCCGACTTCGATGCAGCTCTGCTTTTATGATGGACACTATACCTCACGAAGGGCTGCACTACTCGGTGCCGCTGCTCTGTGGTGTCTTCACGTGCCAACAGGCGGAATGGAATTAAGGATGCCGGCTTCGATAATATTCGACAATACTCTCTATGAATCCTTTGGGGAACGTTTGTTTATAATGAATAAGTTGCGACCGGGCTTTAGTCCTATTGGGTAGTAAATTGAATTTATAATAATAATGTCAAGAGTAGCGGAGCCTAGTGTACTCCACATTGGGTCCCGACGCAGTGATTTAGCCCGGCTACAGACTTTGATGATTGCAGACTTGCTGCAGGATGAGATGGGGGTTAAGGTGATGCTCAATGATGGGGTCTTTTCTCCGTGCCACTTCGTATGCAAATCATGTTCCGCGAGGTATCTCGTCCCTGTCATAGGCGCTTTTCACGTCGGTTTACGTCCATCCCAGATCGGACCTACGAACAGTCTCGGGCTCTGGTCATCAGGTTGAATGTCATTACCGCGAAGCCCCGGGTGATACGAATTTAAAAGATCCGCTTTGGAAGATGCCGGAGACCGGTGTCTTCACCAGTTTCTTACGCGATGGGCTTATGAATGGTAAATTGGTCAAACGAGTTTAATAAGTTCCTCTTCATCCCACAGGTGCCTTCGATTTGGTGGTCCATTCATGGAAAGATCTTCCCTTGGCTGAGGAGTCCGGTACAACAGTAGTAGCCACACTGCCACGAGCCGACCCCAGGGACTTACTCCTCATACGTCGAGATGCTATCGAGGAAATGTGAGCAGTGCTGAATTGGTGTGTGGGTAGGCTGAGGCCCTTAGGACATCAGAAGGAGGCAAATTGATTGTGTTATCATCGTCCCCTCGACGACAGTTCAACTTAACACCTTTCCTGGAGAGTGTGGTTCCTGGGGTCACCTCAGTTCAGTTCCGAGACGTCCGGGGGAACATCCAGGTGCAGCCGATGGGTTCCTCACCATATGAAGGCCTCCTTCAGACTCGTATGAAGAAGTTGATGGACCCGACCATACACGACGAGAGTCTTGGTTGTCGTCCCCACGGCTTGGTGGTTGCTAAGGCAGCAGTGGACAGGTTTATACGCAGTACGAGAGAGGAGTTCAAAGAGAGTCGGCAACTCGTACAGGGGTAAGGCTCTTATAATGGACGACGAAATTGTTGTTGCATATTTCTACCCTAAGAATCTTCATAACATATATTCCACTTGTAGAGATGGTCTTGTGTGTAGATACATATCTGAGTGCCGCTGTATGGTATTGCCTTTGTCTGCTAACCCCACTGCTGCAGCCCAGGGAGCCTTGGGTATTGAGGTCAGTACGGCACCGGAGAAGGAGCATGTTAGGAAGGTACTGCCGTTAGCCTCCCTTTGTTATGATGTGATTGGTAGATTGTGAGGAGTCTCAATGATCGGAGTACATTCGATGCGGCGTCGAAAGAAAAGGAGCTTTTGAATTCGTGAGGAGGGGAGGATACCTCAGACAATTATATGCGTCGTGGAAGATACGGTGGAGGTTGCCATCAGAAGATCGGCTGTACCATCCTTCCTCGACAATATGGAGATGTGTTGTTCTTATGTGGCCGAACTGATAATGGATTGGACCTTCTAGACCGGCACATCAAGCCAAGGATACCTCTACTAGAGGACTTACATCTGAGGGAAGGAGAAGACCCTCCGCCCCTGCAGGTGAGGAGGGGGGGCAGATGGTTTTCTTGAATTACATTGTTGCTGTTCAGGTTGGTGGCGCTGGTGGATTGTCTTTATTCGATAGGGAAGAGGATCCCCAGGCCGGTGGGAAGCTCATTGAAGCACTCAGGAAGGGAGATCGTGAGGTGGGGTGATGCCTGTGTTTAGTGGGGCCGTCTTGATTCGAAACTCTCCAATCTTGGGGAATTCTCCTTCCTTGTCTGTTCTTCCCCTTTGAAGACCTGCTGTTGCCCTCGTAAAGGGAATTCCAAAACTTCGTGATCAACTTTGAAATCTTGCTGTTTCGCGACCAACGATTTTCGTACTGCCAATTTTAATGGAATTATGAAATATCAACAATGACCTCCTATGAAATTGACCTTTCACTCCGCCACCACTTGACGTCGTGCATCAAGAAGGCCCCTGACCACAGAAATCTTTCCCTCTTCGGAAACAGCTTGTCCAGGGGTTATCGACCACCCCGACTAACATGGATCGCATTCCAAGGTTGTTTTCTATGGTCTTGATCGATGAGTTTTACCCTAGTGATATGAAGAACACTAGTGAAAAACATATATCGCGACTACTACATAGGGCGAATCTCGCATTTTTCACGGAGTTTTACGCCACTTCACGTAAAACGGGTGGAACTCCATTGATACTTCCCCACAATCGTTAGATGATAATAGGAGGGGCACAACAAGTTGATAATCAGCTGAAGGTCTAACTCCAATCTTGTAGGGTTCGTGCTCAATGATATCTTATATAATTTCACTAAATTCTTCAGAAGATTTTTCGATAAAAAAACTGTAAAATTTCAGAGTCGGTCTCGACGTTTTGGGACTCCCTTGATAATCAAAGATAACCCCAATTCCGGAAACCAGACACACGTCGCTTCGCCGCTGAAAGGGACAGTTATCACACGGCGCACAAATCTAGATCAGCTCGCAGAGTGGAGTGATGCGTAGATAGTGCTTCCATTTTGCTATCCCGACGCGACATCCTAGCAATCTTGCGAGTGCTGTCTTCAAGTCCGACTCTGCGTGGACCATCCTAATCCGTCTCTAGGCTCACTTGTTTCAAGTGTGGTAGTCTAAGAATGTTAACTCGGATCGTTAACCAGGATCCATATTTGACTGAACTATCTAAATGCGCATTGGACATGGACGTCTGCCCCAGTGATAGGGTATCCTTGTGGAGGATAAACCATCACGACATCAATTCAACTCGACATACCCTGTCGAGGAGTAGTTGGGTGATCTCATTAGGTGGGCCTTTGGATTGCCAAAGCATCGGCTTTACCGTCGTCCCCTACCACTCTAATAGAGTCCATCAATGAGCTCAATGTCCCAGTATGGGTTGCCGGCACCACCACTTGGAGGCACCTCGCTAAGCGTGGCCTCTGGTGCACTGGTATGGCCATCATCATCATCATGACAATCCTTATGTAGGTTATGTAGGTACGGCCGATGGTCTGGGGGAGAAGGAAGATCCTGATATCTCCGCTATTGCTCCAACCCTCAAGAGGTGGATAAAAGTCACACACTGTGACGCTGGTGAACGGCAACATGTTTCGAGTGGAGAGGCTCATCGGGTGAGCAGTCGGGACGATGTGTAGCCTTACGACTCACCATCATTACATATGCCCTGTTAGAGGAGTATCCCTCAGTTAACACGTAATTATCCTAATTGCCCCGAGTCGAATACACGGTCGTTAGTGAATCGCATATGCAATGCTCGTGTGATGGTCATCCAAATAGGCGATTGTCGTTGGCAGTAATGGTATTACTCTCAGAAGGATACACTCGGCACATACACTCTAAAGTCAAAGTATACCCCTCAAACCTGTCCCTCTGATCTTAAGACGGCCACACATATATTCTGGGGAAGCGGCTCTGCGTATGCCGAGGCAGTGAGGTTGGTAGAAGACCTCAACAACAGAGTAAGGCAGGTGTCTGGTGGACGATGTGGGGGCGATTGTCTTGTCGGTGAAGGGGGAAGGACGACTCTATTGTGCTCAAATATAAACATAGTGTTCAATACGACATATTGAAGAATTGATAATAATCCAGCACAGTTGCCACTTGTATAGTCAACGAATAATGCAAACAGTAGAGTTACTCCAATGGTAGTTACGACAATTATCCTCTTCTCGAGTTGACTGCACCCTCCGACCTCCCCTCAGGTTGAAGTCCATGGTTGCGGTCCCGGCCATACATTTGATGCCCTGCGGGATGCCGGCATTCCGGAAGAGAGAATAGTTATTGTTCTCAACTTCTCGGAGTTTGTCGATAGAGTGTATAAGCCGAAGACTCGATAGTGAAGGATTAGAATCTTCCCATTCCTCGATTAGTTTGACAGAAGTCTTAGGACGCTATCATGCTTACTCGTGATTTGAACTTGTGTTCTCAATTAGATGATATTTCGAGATTATGTGGTTACTGTTCACGCTCATCATTTGAGGCTTACTTCGGCCACTCACTCGTTATGGAATCGATCAATTTTGAAACCTCCCAATATCCCTTTTATTGTAGAAGGGGTTTGGAAGGTAATGTTCATCCTCAAGCGATCTCGTGAATGAAGATAGAAGGATGAAACGAATAGGAATATTTTTATACGAGCCCATATCGCCATTGATGTACCGCAGTTAATCGGATATGAATTCCGAAATATAGTTGCCAGTGAGAACAAGTATTGCGGGCCCGGTTTGAAGGTGTGCATTCCACAGGGAGTGTGGGGCTGGGGTTTTTACCTTTTTGTGAGTTCGTTCTCATCAGCAATGAAGGGATATGCAACTTGGTGGTTATATCGCGTCAGAGATAAGAACACCCTATCTGAGTGAGAGTCCTGCACACGTCCGGATGAATATGTACTTATCGAAAAAGCGGAATTACTACTAAGATTCAGTGAAGAAGGAGTGCTTGCGGACAGTCATAATGGAGATAGTTGTAAGTCTGATATCGCGTATTAATGTTATGGTGTCGAACGATCTTCAATCCGTAACATCCACCCCGGAGCAAAAGTCTGTACTTCAAGATGGCCGATGGGAATGGCGAGAAAGTGAGCATGAGCTGATTCTCGTGGCTGCAACATACGCGGATGCCGGGTGAGGGCCGAGGGTCGAACTCCCCCGCCTTCGAGGGTACACTCGAGTCGTCATGGGAGGGGAGGGGCACTCAGGGAATATCCGATGACGTCATACCTCCTGGCATACCCGAACGAAACCACCGTCTACTGAGGCGAATTCTTGGAACGCACCTGACGCTAATGCAGTCGTCGGCACTGAGGGAGTTCATTCATAGTGGTGGCAGATAGCGTGAAATTTCAAAGGTTGTATTACATCAGCTCGCTGTGTAGTCGACAATGCAGTTCCTAATGCAACTCCCTTGTGCTACTTGACATATGTTGAGTTTCTTGGACGAGTCATCATTCGTAGTTCATTCCCATTAGGGCTGTACTGATTGCAGTTTTAAATTCGACCAGATGTCGCTCCTATTGGGCCGACCTTCTCTGGCAGAGTTCATCCCATGGATGCACTTCATCAATAAGCTCTCTGCCAATGCATCGTGCAGTGTTGTGTCGGAGCTCCATGAGATTGCTCCGAGCTTGTTCATGAAGACGCGCTTTTCTAAATGGTTCCACACGGGCTGGCAGAAGGTATGTCATGGGTATGGCCAAGTGCTGCTTCTTCCTATTCCTTCGAATGGGAACTCTTGTGGAGTTCTGTGCGGGTGAATCACGTAATGTAGTGGCCACCTCGACTGTCCTCAGGGAATCATACAAGATGCACAATATTGTCTCGAAAGGCTGTCAGACCTCGCAAGTGAGCTTCCTAATTTACCATTGACCTGATCAGTTCTGAACAGACTCTGGGGATATTAAAAAAGGTGATTTCGGCTGCTTTACACCCGCTATGGAGGAGTACATACAAGCAGTACTCTCGGAGGCAAGGCGGGGTAGGGTAGCGGTGTGGACTCAACTCCTGGAGGGAATGCGAGTATACTTTCTCGCGTCGACGCTTTCTTTTATTGCTATGACGCGGAGTAGCTCATCCTTGGCACGTGATAAGGATATGAGAGCTCTCGTCTCAACTTGCAGCAGTTCTTATCCTGAGGATATAAATACCGAGACCTATTTGAAAAGCGCTCCACGATGGGTTCGAACCACCGACCTTGTGGTTAACAGCCACACGCTCTGCCTACTGAGCTAGCGGAGCCGTGAATTTATGTTGTTCTTCTGCACTTCGATACTTGAAAGCATTCGATAAATTTGTAGTTGGATTTGCACATGTTTCCTAATGATGCTTCCGCGAATTTGTCTATTCTCTCAGGCGATATTTGCCACAGTTTCAAGATCCACAAGTTCGTGGGGTCACGCGTAGACAAGCAGTTTTGGATAGCCGGGACTAAGGAAACGAGTAAGACTTATCCTTGCTCCTCGTCTTGGCGTGAGGGCTCTCATCGCGTCGCGTCATATCCCTCCGTGTCGGAATTTTCTACGCCCAAATCGACTATCCGAGGCACATCTCGAACTTGAGCCATTGGGACAGTGTGTATCCGTCAGATCCACAGATGGACTTATTTCGGCTTTACGGCAATCGCTACTGCACGGAGCAGCGGCACACCTTCCGAGACGCTATTCAACTCGCCAGGGAGGCCGGTGAGAGTCAGTCGTCGACAATTAGTTTAGACCATAGACTGCCTAGGTTTGGTCGCCAGGATGCACGTTGCGGTTAGTGTACGAGAGTCCTATTGGGTAGAAGACCGGCACGGGGAAGCGGTGGGGCAGGTCTCTTCAGGATGGTTCCTGAGACCCGATTCCTCAGTTATTCGGCAGTCGAACTGATCCCGACCCATCAGCGAGCGAGGTTGGCCCTGTAGCAGAACATATGGTCATCATGGAGGCCGGCATGGTGTATGGCGTTCAGCCTCCCTCCCTTTATTCAGCCCCTCGCTAGGTATGAGCCTGATTCTGCTAATCCATCTGAAGACAACTTTGTACCGATCGTAGCTGATGGACGGGTATGGCGTATGGCCGACGTGAACGAAGTCGTGCCTGTAAAGCCAGTGATAGAAGGAGGCCGAATGCATCTCTATTGGTGACACGTTACTACACGCTTCCGTATTATGCATTCGCTGTGTTGGTCAATCAACCTATGGATCAACCAATCGACCTCAATCTATGGAGCTCTGTTTCTACGGCAATGTCGACGAAGGTGAGTTTTAGTCATACCGAAGGCTTTGGTATAAAGCGTCGCAGCGCCACCCAAAAGTAATCGAATAATCCGCGCCGTCTGTAGCATGTCAATACTCATCTGCTACTCAGCCCGATCGGGCGTCGGCCAAGCAGACGATCAGTTGTTGCAAAGAGTAGAAGGGAGTCGAGAGTGCCGAGTGGGAGGGCCTCGAGGATAATAGAGAAACCTCAACTCAATCGGGATTCGGGCCCACCCCCCGCGTAGTTTCACGTGGCGTCTGTCAAATTGAAATATATTTGTAGCTACAACAAACCGCTAGACGAAGAAGCCGTTATTGTCGCGTGCCGTAAGGGAGACTCAATAGCATTTGATATTCTCCTGCAGGACGTCGATCGAGAGAAGATCGCGGAGTGAGTGGTCCTGAGACCCGCTGGGGTTGCCTCTACGGACGGCAGTCGTGAAGTGGTACCCTTACAGGTGCCGTGATGAGTCCGGCTGGTCATTGGCGATGATCGCGGCCCATCGTCAAGGAGAGGACAACGAGAGCTTGTTGAGGATCCTCACACGACACGACAGTTTGCATTGGTTTGAAGCTGCTGAGGGTATCGATAGGTCCCAGGTTCAATCCATAGTAAGAGCATTTGTAGGTCCTCACCTGCTCATAGATGCTCCATCGAATGAAGAGCGAATGACCGCCCTCTCGGTAGGAGCCTCCTTGAAGGGCTGCGTTTTGTTTCCACTCGCCATCAGGTCGCCAGTCGACGAGGAGATACAAGTATGGCCAAATTACTGGTTGAAGCCAAAGCCGATGTCAGAGTAAAACTGAACAGCTTCCCCCTCCAACGTTTGGATGGTCCTCCCTTTTCAGCACCCCGACTGTCGAGGATGGACTCCGTTGCACTGGGCCGCCGTCCATGGACATGACGACTGTGTGAGGCTCCTGGCTGCCACTATAAGCCACTCGTAGGGTCTGCACACGTTAGTGTCGGCAGCCTTACGTTCAGGGATGAGGTTACCATTGGAGGAGTGGAAACTGATGACCATAATGGAGGAGTCGACACCCAGGATGTGGAGGGTCAGACCGCCTTGCACTGGGCGGCTCGACAAGGCAAGCTGAGCACGGTGAGCGATACTACTACCATTTGTGCTTTGGAGGTCTTCTAGGTGATGATACTGGTACGGGAGTTTGGATGCCGTCTTGACATGAGAGACCTTTGGGGTCAGACGCCGGTAGAAGCTGGTGAGTCGTGGTCGTGGCGATTGCCTCGACTCGTCTGTTGTAGTCGAGCGTCAGTTGAAGGCCATTGAGTGGCTACACGCAGCCTCTTGCGTTGATCGTCAGCTTTGGAGGTACACTCGAGGTGGACTGTAGTCTCAAAGACCCCTGCTTAGGCTGGCCAAGAAGAGCGACATAGTTGGTATGAGGCAGCTGATTGCAGCTGGTGTTGTTGATGATGACGAAGGTCGGGACTTCATCACTCAAGAGCCGAGTAAGTCATCGTTGGTCTGCTCCCATCAGGGCTGTTATGGTAGATAGACTCGACGCTGATGCTATTGAGTATGGTGCCGACAACCACACACATTGGATGAGACTATTGAAGTCGACCTTGGATGGATCAATGGATGCCGTGAAGTTACTTCTTGCGAGAGGTGATGTGAAATACATCAGCAGGAGGTCCCCCCCTGAGGTCTCCACAGGCGCTGATCCTCGACTCGCCGTGGATCTGCTCTATTTGGATGATGAGCAGCAGCAGCAACAGTCAGAGGAGGAGCTGACGGGTATGGCCAAGAAGGAGGCACTACTGAAGATCCGTACGGAACTGCTCAACCTAGTCGAGGCCACGAAGAGGTGGGACGGTGATGACGGCTGCCTCGTCGTAGTGGTCGTCGTAATAGACTATTATACATCGTGAAGACTTGCGGGGTATCAGCGGATGAGCAAGAGGGACAAGTTGGACTGGTGAGTCGCCGCGGCAGGTTAAGGAGGAGGAGGAAGGAGGCTTGGCAGATCCGAGATTGCTTGGAGGCTGGTGTCTGCCCTGACACATTAGACGATGATCTCGAGAGGGGGAAGATGTCGGCGTTAATGTGGGCCTCCCTCAGGGGCCTCACTATACTTGCTGGTATATTATTAGAGGCCGGGGCCGGTGGGACTCGCCAAGGATCGGATCAACCAAATCGTTAAACAACTCATTTTAGACGTGCATGTTCGACAGCGGCTGGGCGGCTGGACGCCGCTGCATTTTGCAGCAGCTTCAGGGCACTCCGAAATCTGCGCTATGCTCATCAGGGCCGGAGGGGTGGTCGATCAGGAATCCTTCAGGGGTAGGCCCACAGAGGAGGTTATCTGACCAATCCTAATGGATGGTGATAGGTGACACGCTTCTGTCACTCGCCATAAAATCTAATGTCCGATCGACAGTAGAGGTGGCCATTGACACATTGGAAGCCTCCAACGAGGGTTCCCTCATCACGGCTCATGTCGATCCCTCGAAGGGGCAGACGGCCCTCCTTTATGCAGCTGACTGGTGAGTCTCGCCAACAGCAAAGGTTCGCCTTTCAGTCTTCCCCTCAGTGGAGCGACTCAATCGTGTTTGGCGATCCTCAACAGGAAGGTGTTCGCGGCGGGTGTAAAAGGTCATCATCCGATTCACGTTGTCGATAGTCGAGGGATGAACGCTGTACTCCATCCTGGTATTTATTATTTGTCATTCATCTCGACAGATCCTTGTAGCATGCGCCGGGGGGTTCTCAGGGACGGCATTAGCGATCTATCAACACACAGTAGAGGAGGAAAGGAATGCGGCGTGTGTCCTCTCCTATCACCCGTCGCTTGGATGATGAGGAGGAGCTCTGTTAGGCTGATGGCGACTGACAAAGAGGGTCGC